GAAGGAAGAAAACCAAATCGGTTGGCTAGGTGGCTGACTGTCACTTGTGTTCCCTTTCCCTTCACTCTTTCTTTAACTTAAACCAGTGTTTCTCAATCTTAGCCACTTTAACCAGTGTGGACTTCAACTTGCAGAATTCCCCAGACATGGGGGATTTTTCTATGCACTGATTTAAAGTGTGTAGAAAAATTCAGAGGAACTAAGAATTGGGAGCAATGTAGTTTCCCCGAAGGCTGCTGTACTTGAGGAATTTTGGGACGAGCAACCAGGATGATTAGGGGACTGGAGGCTAAGGCATATGAAGAACAGTTACAGGAACTGGGCTTGGCTAGTCTAGTGAAGAGAAGGACCAGGGGAGACATGATACCAGTCTTCCAATATTTGAGGGGCTGACAGACAGGGGTCAAGCTATTTTCTAAAGCACCCAAAGGCCAAACAAGGAATAATGGATGGAAACTGATCAAGGAGAGATTTAACTTGGAAATAAGGAGAAACTTTCTGACAGTGAGAACAATCAACCAATGGAGCAGCTTGCCCTCAAAGTTGTGGGAGCACCATCACTTGAGATCTTCAAGAAGACATTGGACTGCCATTTGGGGGTTGGACTAGATGACCTATAAGGTCCCTTCCAACTCTGATTATCTGTTATCTGGGATGAAAATCTGCCTTCCTTGCCCACTCTGAATTGGGTCTGAGTTTATCTTAATTTCCATGTAATAGGCTGACATTAGCTCAGGGGTCTTCAAACTTGACAGCTTTAAGACTTGTGGACTTCAACGCCCAGAATTCCTCCTCCAGTCATGTTAGCTCAGGAATTCTGGGAGTTGAAGTCCACAAGTCTTAAACTTGCTAAGTTGTATTAGCTGTTTAAGATCTTGTAATTTCTCTGCAGAGAGAAATAATGAATGGAGCTACCGCTTGTTGTTTGCATTTTAGTGAACGCCTCATTTAATTAATCCCTATCCAGGTTAATCCTTAGGCATGCCTGGCACAGCCTTCCCGTCCATTTGGTTGTGACTGTTGGAGGCGATGCGTACCGTAGCTCAAGGCACCCAGCGAAAGTAAAACCTCCTTCTGATGCTAGCGCCCTTTCGGTGCGCTTTGGAACTACAATTCCCAGGCTTCCTTGCGAAGGAAGGATTCTAGGAATTGTAGTCGCATGCAGTGCTGTAATTCGCAGGCCCGGGTCAAAGCTGCTTTATGAATTTCTTGTGAATCAATTGATCCATTTTACGGGAACCGATTCTCTTAGATTATTTTACAGTGCAGTTACGAGGTTTTTTTTCTCTCCAAAAGTCTTGAGTTCAATACAACCCCAGGGGCTTGTGAAGATGCATTTTAAAGGTTTTGCAAACTTGCAAAACAACCGACACCACCACCACCACAAAGGTCCCCCATTTATTTTCAAACTAGAACCGACTCTCGTGTCGAAGCCGCGCACGCACACCCTCACTCTGGAGAGCCAACCCCCGAAAGGTGGAGCTGTTTGGGGGGTGTGGTGCAAAGCGGTTGGGTTAAGAAAGCGGCGGAGAGCGCCGGGCCTTTTGGAGCTGCAACTGCTCCTGGGCCCGTTGCAATCGAGCGCACACACACAAATAGTCGCTAGCAGAGAAAGGGCGATCTGTTTCGGGGCCTCCCCGGGTCGGCGCATCGATGAGCTGCGAGGTACGCCAACTTTGCAATCGGCCCGGCTCGGCTCTCTTTAGCCGGAGTGAAACCTGCGCACGACTCTTTTTCTGCTTAGATAGGCCCCCCCGAAAGGCGCAGACCTGCAGAAGCTCCCGGAGTCCCAGTTTGTCCCAAAGCCGCATCCTCTGTGGGGAAAGAGAGACACAACTGGGTCCCCACTGAGGGCCGGGCCCCCTGCGCGGGATTTTTTATTTTTATTTTCATTTTGGTCAAACACGGCCGTGTGTGCAATGCGTGTCCCGGCTTTTCTCTGAAATGACTTTGGACCAAGCTTAGCAACCTCTTATTTCGCAACAACCTCGACTCCCATTAGCTCCGGCCAGTTCAGAATGATGGGCGCTTGCCCGTCCAATATGCAGTGCTCTCCAAACGTTATCGATCGTGTATCCTATTAGTAAAAATACTGAGCGTGCACTTTTATGTATGATTTTTTATACATAACGTGCTTGTAGCACTGCACTAATGTGTACATTTTAACACGTGCGCATATAGAGAGATATTCTGTGGATTGAGTAGCTTCGTGGATTAGTTCAACTTCTGAAGGGGAGGGAATTGGATAATAGACCTTCTAATATTTCTTATCCACTTTGGAAGCCACTGACTGTATGCCTGCCTGCATTTTGAAATGCTGAACCACCCATGGATTTATTTCATAAGCACTTGTAATTCTGAGCACTTTTCTTTTTGACTCATTATTCTACTTTTTAATGCAGCTTAATTGTACTCCTTGGTGACTCACTCTGATTCTAATAGAATGGTTTGGAGTTTTTAAAAGTAATTTTATCTCTAGTGGGATTCAATGAATTTGGTGGTGCTAGAAGTCCAGCTAGAACTTTTTTATATTTGCTTTTAAGGTTGTACATTTTTCTGAAGTTACCTACCTGTCATTTGATAACCTGGAGGTTTTGATGACTAAACCAGCTGGAACACTTAAATTTCTAAATTCTAGAGAGCCTTTAAAACTTGTTTGACAACTCTCTTATGTACCCATCCAGGATGAACTGCATTTGTGGAATAATTTTAGTTCTTGCTGGGCTTGTAATAGCAAACGGGGCTTCAATTCCTTTGCCTTTGATTAGTTGGGGCTCATGGGAGTTGGGAGATGGAGTATTTGGAAGACACCCCCCCTCCTGCTGTGGGATATCAATGATACATTAAATCAGAGGTATCCATCATGAGAAAGTAAATAATTATGCCAATTTGTTTTTTTAAAGCTCCCTACCTTAAATTGTATGGAAACAGAATAATTGCAAATTGAATTTTGAAATGCTTTGCCTTCTATGAGGCTGAAATAAGGCCACATATGGAACAAAGCTTCCTTCCTGTCACCTTCAGTTCGTTAGAATAGTCCAACCCACCATGAATATTAACACAACCTTTATTATAAGATTAACAGAATCTCACAGGTCTGAAAGCACTTATCTCCCTTGTCTTTACTTTCTAGAGAACTAGGGAGGAATTTTCTGAGATGTCACCATTCCCATTCTTGCCTAACCACTAACCCCTGGGAGTTGAAGACCACAAGTCTTAAAGTTGCCAAGGTTGGAGACCCCTGGTTTAGACAGTAGATCCTTCTCCCAAAGTCATTCTCACAGCCCATTGTAGTCACCTCTAACGGTCAAAAAGTCTTTCAAAATTTTTGCTTCCACTTTTGGGTGATTGTACTCTTTTTTTTTGAGGACATTCTTTTTTTTTAATTCATTGGGGCAGGACCTTTTACAATGTACATACAGGTGTATGTTATTCTCCTTGTATTTCAGAAACCTGTTCCTTGTAGGTTTGAATGTGTCCGTTACTTTGATTTACATGCTGTTCCAAATCTGAAGCCTTAATGTGTTGATTTTAGTTACAATGGAATATAAATGAAATCCTTATGAGCTTAAATCGGAGTTGGGCTTAATGTTAAAACATTTTTACCTACTGCTTGAAAACAGGTCACAGTGCTGTATTTTGCCAGAAGTGCTGAATTAGCAGGGCTGCGTACAGAGACCATTTCTGTACCCCAACAAATAACCTCGCTGCAGTTGTGGAGAGAAATTGTCAAGAGACATTCAAGGTATGGTGACTTGTATCGGTAATTGAGGCTTTCCTCATGCTCTTACAATATAGGGCTGTGCGGTTTTGGTAATTGCTCACTCTTGCAATTCTCGCACACAGAATTGCAACTTTAGTGTCACGACACGCCATTGTCATCTTCTATGGTGACCAAGAAGCAGAGCAAACCAAGTCATCCTTGCCTATACCCTCCCCAATTCTGCCATCAAGTAAAAAGAAAAATACAAAATGACATTTTTTTTAAAAAAAAAAAACGCAGACATGGCCCACAAGCAGCTCCAGGGCCTCAAAAGAACAGTCAGCAATCAGGGTTGGAATCTCATTCCTGAGGGTAGGTGTTGCAACATAAAAGCCATACTTCTGGCTCACAATTGAGGGGAAATGACATTGTCTAGTTGAAGGGACCCAAAGTGTGCTGGCCTTGTCATCTTAGACCAGGGATCTCCAAACTTGGCAACTTTAAGACTTGTGGACTTCAACTCCCAGAATTCCCTAGCTAGCATGGGGCATTGGAGATCCCTGGCTCAGACTGACCAGGCAAACCCAATGGGAGATAGCAGGTCCTGTGTCATGTAGGATTCCGTAGATGATGACAGAACCTGGGAAGGCATAAGAAGCAATCTGACAGACAATGCAGCCTTGTTGAGCAAAGATGCATTATGGGGGAACTGCATTCTGGACTAATTGAAGTTTAAAGAGGTCTGAGGTGAGTCTATAGGGCTTCCTGATCCAGGAAATAGCACAAGTGATACCTTGGATAAAGCTGTGCAAAGCCACCTAACCCCCGAACTGCCATGTTTTTCATTCAACTGACTTTCTATATAGAATTGGTTTAACTAAGACAAATATATAAATAAATAATGGAATTTGGAATGTTGCCAATCCTCCAGCAGTACTTTTGTCTAGACTCGTAAATGGATTCCAGAAACCTCACAAAATAAAAGTTAGGGAAAGAAATCTTGTCTCTGAAATAGAAACCTGGCCAAGGAAAGAGGAAAGATTTGCTGGGATTGTCTGGAACGTTCCGCAAAAGAGGAAGCTAGAAGAGATAGCAAGTAATAAGTCTTTTTCTTAAAAAATCAGAGCTTTCTGACTGGTTTTAATTGACCCAGTAGCCATCTTGGGGATGGAGACCCCGCCCATATACATTTTGTGAGATCCTCAATGTACGTTAAACAGAATCCATTCCAAAAATGTCAGGGATCTGTTGTAGAAGCAGATCAATGATTAATCTTTATGTTTCCTTCAGTCTTGCTGATATCGAAGATCAAGTTATCTTTGCCATTTGCCAGGAGTACGTTCCCCTTGGGGATCAGCAGTTCACCCTCCACACAGGGGACGAAGTTGCCATCATCCCACCTCTTAGTGGAGGTTAGCTCTAGAAAGATACTCACAGGTATGTGTTGGTGTTGCGCTAAAATATTGAATCTGGAAACTTGATGAGGAGGACGATGATGATGATGGAGGAGAAGTATCAAGCTAATGTTATTCTAGAAAGCTTCGAGTTTGGTCTCCAAAATGTGGTTCAAGCAGCTCTGTCTTTTTCTGCACAGTCTGATATAGCTTTTGGACATTAGTTCTAACGTGATACCTAAATGAACCAATAACATTGTAATGACATTTATTGAAAATATATTCATGGAGAATAATTTAAACCTCAACCCCCAACTTATCATGGGTATAACTCCCAGAATTCCCTGACATGATCATAGTCGACATTATCTAGAGCAGGGGTCGCCAACCTTTTGGACCTTAGGGACCACCAAACTCATAATTTTAGATCCCAGGAACCACTAACCGGTTCTGTGGGCGTGGCCTAATTTGTTGATGTGGCTTGGTGGTCATGTGACTGGCTGGGCATGGCTTGTATGTAAATATTATAAATATTTATATAAATATTGAATTTTTTATTAAAGAAGAGCAACTTTTACCCAAAATTAGGCAAAGCAGGCAGGCGGATTGAGTTGCTCACAGAATCATAGATTCATTCAGAGATCTCTATCTGCCATTGGCTAGCTCAGTCTGTCACATAAAATTTGCTTGCAAGGAAACTCACAAAATTAACTCACAACACACCATGCATGTAAATATTGAATTTTTTATTTAAAAAAGAGCAACTTTTATCAAAAATCAAGCAAAGCAGGCAGATTGAGTTGCTCACAGAATCATTCAGGGATCTATCTATCTGCCATCGGCTAGCTCAGTCTCTGAAATTTGCTTGCCGTGAGTCTGCACTGAATTTGCTTGCAAGCAAACCTTCAGTCCTAAGGGAGGTTTGGCTGTGCTGAGCTGAAGATCTAAAGACTAGCTTGAAATCCAACCATTTCCTGCTTCCTAGCTAATTTAAATCTCCCGGCACAACAGAACTGATGATGGTCAGAAAAAGGAAAAATAGCAATTTAGCAGGCAAGTTTACCCGGAAAGGAATGAGTGGGCGGGGAGGGTTCCCGCGGGCCATGTGGGCAGCGCAGCGTTGTGTTTCTGAGTAGCCTGCATTAATTGCTTTGTGGGGATGCTCTGGGGGTGAGATTCTTCTGTGGACTGCCAAAATTTTCTCATGGCCCACCAGTGGGCCGCGGCCCACCAGTTGGCAACCGCTGATCTAAAGAGGATGGGAGGGAAAGCACAACTGAAGGGCTCCGGATTGGACAATAGAATTGCACATTTAAAAAATAATTTGGAAACACTGTTTTAGATCTTATGCCACCCCATTGACTAGCCTGATGGTGTTATCTACTTTGGGTAATAATATGTCTGCAAGAAAACAAGTGAGCTCAGAGACCACCAAGGACGTCTCATTTCAACCCTGAGCTACAAATATTCTCCTTTATTAGGATTCTAGTCTGAACTCAGACCGGAAAAGATCCATAAAATCCGTTTGTTAAGAGACTATAATATTTCTTTGAAGAATATGAATTAAGTAATTTAATTTAATTTAAGTTAATTAAGTTAATTAATCAAAATAATGGGTAAGGCACCAGGCTAGAAACAGGAGACTTCTAGTCCTGCCTTAGGATAAAATTAGCATTAATTATGTTCACTTGAGTTGTTCATAAAAATAATAAAGGTGGGTTAAAAATGAGTGAATAAATAAATAAGGCAGCAATCTGGCTTATAATTTGTGATGTAATTTAATCTCCATTGCCAACGAAGGAGAAACTTGCAAACTTAATCATTGTATCACCCTTTACTTCTAGAGAAATCATGAATGAAACTGAGGATGAACCCAAGGATGTGATTCTGTTGAAATCTGAGAAGCTCTCATTAGATGAAGTAGCAGCACTGGTCATTTCTCCCTGCTGTGGAGCTGTATCTTTCTTTGTAGGTAAGCCTGACACATAAAACTCTTAATCAGAGCTGAACTCACAGATTTTTTTAAAAAAAAACTTGATTGAAGATTAGATAAGCGGTTGTAGGAGCCAATGGAACAAGGCTGTCATAGACCAAGCTTAGAACAAGAAAAGGCATCCAAACTTAAGAAAAAAAGGTTCTTAAACCTTGCAGATTGGAATCATTTACAGAGTAATAAAATGGAGCTTATGGTTCTGCCAGCTCCGAGAATTGTCACTGCTAGGAAAGCTTGGAGCCTTTTGGGTATCCATATACACAAAACAAGTCTTGATGTTGCACATGGGTTGTTTGCTTTTGAGGGCTTCACTTTAATTATACACACATATAGTTGATTTGAGAGATCTCAGATAACACATAGTGCATCTTATCTATCTTATCTTGAAAAAAATGGGCATATTACCCCCAACAATCTGGGTCCTCATTTGACCGACCTTGGAAGGATGGAAGGCTGAGTTAACCTTGAGCCTGGTGAGATTCAAATTGCCAAATTGCAGGTAGCTGGCAATCAGCAGAATTAGCCTGCAGTACTGCATTCTAACCATTATGCTACCACGGCTCTTAGGTAAAACCACGCTTAGCATAAAGAGAAACTTAATTTCCTATTGATAAAGCTCTTAAATTTAACCTTCTGTCATAGCTAAACGTCTCACCAGTCCAGAATGTCTTTCAAGGGTTGTCCTTTTGTTTCAGGCACTACAAGAAATAACTTTGAAGGGAAAAAAGTTGTACAGTTAGAATATGAAGCCTACACAACAATGGCAGAAGCTGAAGCGAAGAAAATATGCAAAGATATTAGATTAAAATGGCCTTCCGTGAAGCATATAGCAATACATCATCGACTTGGGTAAATACACTCAAAGCATATTTAAATTTATTTAATTAAGATTTTGTGCTTGTGAATTTGATAGAGACAGATTTGTGGACAAGCATCTGAGCCTCAATTCTGGATGAGGCCATATGGAGAAAGTCGCCTCATAGCAAACTTAATTCCCGTCTTACTCTTATGGCAGCTCTCAGACGGACATTACATCCACATTTCATGCTTGATTCCTCATTCCAATTAAGGGTTACATTTGAGGGTTTGGTACTGTCTCTGAACTCTGATCCTTGTTTGTTCTGAACATTGGCAATGGTGCAACTTGTAATTGGATTTAGACTTTATTGTGTTGTGGTTCATGGGAGAAAAAAAATGAGATGCAAAATACCCCAACTGAAATGAATGTACAGTGTATAGATAAATTGCAAGCTAAATTTGAGGACTGTTTTAGAGCAGAGCTGCTCACTTTCTAAATGGCATCTCTTTTCAAATACATCATTTGATAAAAAAATTGGTTTGTTTGTTCCGCAGATGATGCAAACATTTTTTTTGCAGCGATGGCTAAGAGCTGTGGCATTTTTTTTCTCCCTATTAACATGGAGTGTTAAATATTTACCTATACGTCACCTTTGGATCTTGTGCTGCTTACTTCCCTGAGAGTTCTGTTTTCCTGAGCAGCCTGTTTTCTAAATGCTCAGCCTCACAGAACTAACCGTTGCCCTCAATCCAGGAAAACTGGATTTTGTTTTGATGTTGATGATGTTCGAATCTTCTGCTTTCAAAGGGTATGTTTCTGATGGATGAAGAGTAGATTGGACACCATTACAACACTTCAACAATCCCATTCCTCCTTATCTCCTTACATTTGGGAAAAAGGGTTTTGGGAAGCCTTGGTGAACCACTGAACAGATTTTACTTGAGGTTATCAAGTCTGCTGCGGAACGACACTGCACATATCCAGTATCTCTAGATACATTAAATGACAGCATATTATAATACACTATAAAAATAGAGAAATCCCTTTATGGGGGGAGTACTGCTCAGGTAAAATCCTATATATCCCTTTCAAGGAACCACATTTTTTCATGCATGGCCGGATGTATCTTTAGGATATCAGTTCTCACGTGCTGCATAGATCAGGGCTGTCATGCCCCTGTTGGAATCTGATTCCGAGGGAGAAGTGGAACAGCTGACGGAGTGGGAGTGTGGCTCTGGTGGCTGGGGAGGAAACTGGGGAAGGGCACAGTCTGGCTGGGCATTTAGAGGAAGACCTAGGTCCCACCTCCTCTTCATCCTAGGGCATGCAGGGAGGAACGGATAAGGGAGCAACGTGGGTTATGGAGGAGAAAAAGGCCCTGATTCCCTTCATTAGCTGCAGCTGGGAAAACAGGATAAAGAGGGTGTTTATGCACAGCTCCTTACTGGAAGCAAAGTGTGAATTATTTTGGTTTGTCAAGTTTTATCTGAGTTCTGGCATCCTGTGTGTGTTTCATTATCTTTTGAAGTCTTCAATTCCTTATCCTGCCCTGTCTCCTTAATTGCTGCCGCGGTGGTTTGTGTTGGTTTTTATTTATTACTTATATGTACTTTCGGTTCAGATGGATTTCCTTCCCTTTAAAAACTATTCCTGGGAGAGTTTTTTCTCCATACAAGGATAACCGAACATTGGTGGCCAAGTTGAAGGTATTAAAGGGACTTTACCTCCTTTTGTGACTTTGTTGCTTTTGTGCCATGCCTCATACACCTTTGTTCAGTGAGCTTACTGACTGCCTCATTTAGTGATTGTTTAAAATTACGACAGTATTGAAAACGTAACTTTCCAACCAGTCACCACATTTTCAACTGTTGCAGCATCTTGCAGTTACTTGATTCCTATTTGTGTGCTTCGCAACTAGTGTGTGATGAGTAGAATGGAAAAGGTAGCAGTAAAAATCCCAAGTCACAGTCATTTGAGGTTTTGCTTTATGACCACAGTGATTTCTTAACTGAGGCCGAGTTGAAGTTGTAAGTTCAGTGCGATTGTGATATTTTGCTTAGCAACTGTAGCACTTTGCAACGGAGTTGGTACCAATTGCGGTTGCTAAGCTAGGACAACCGGGAATAATCATTCTGATCTTTATTTTGGAAAGTACAGTGTTAGATTTCAGCCTAATTGGCAGCCACTAACTAGTTGAAACACGGCCATGACGTGTATTTCATGCTTATGTTAACACTTACTTAGCTTATTTTTCTTTTGTACAAAAGAAAAGCAGCTTTTTTGATTTCCAGATGTTTTGAACTGCAATTGGCAATTGCTTGCACAATTTACCATAGAACATATAAGAGTCATAGTCCAAAATCTAAGGGTTGCCCACATCTGTTTTTCAGAACCAAGACATTTACGTATTATGTTTATTTTTGATTAAATGCAGAGATGGAGTAAAAATAATGGAGCTTTGGAAGAGCCGATTGCTACATGTCTCTTTTTAAATTTCAATTATACATCTGTTGATTATATGTCTAATATAATTTGTGCTATTTGATCCCTGTAACATCCGTGTATACTTTTTTGCCATTTTAATTCCTTGTCAATGTGTTACTATTTTTATTTTTTATTTCCCCTGGTTTATATGTTACAGGTAGTCCTCGACTTACAACAGTTCATTTAGTGACCTTTCAAAGTTACAATGGCACTGAAAAAAGTGACTTAGGGCCATTTTTCACAGTTACAATCTTTGTAGCATCTCCGTAGTCATTTAATCAAAGTTCAGATGCTTGGCAACTGGTTCATACTTATGACCATTGCTGTGTCCCAGAGTCATGTGGTCACCTTTTGCAACCTTTTGACAAGCTTAGACAATGGGGAAGCCAGATTTGCTTAACAACCGGGTTACTAATTTATCAACTACAGTGATTCATTTAATAACAGTGGCAAGAAAGTTCATAAAATGGGGCAAAACTCACTTAACAAATGTCTCACTTAGCAACATAAATTTTGGGCTCAATTGTTGTCATAAGTCGAGGACTACTTTTATAGGGGATGGAATAATGACTGACAGAAGCTCCAGATTATTCCTAAAACGTTATTTGGGGTAGTGGATTATTTCTACCTTGAAACTCTTTGGAAAAGAGGCTCTGCTTTATCTCTGCCCTGATCTAAATGATTGCATCAGGCTGTTATTGCAGATGGTCTCTTCTCTAGTTCTCCTTAATTTGTTTTCCTGTTGAATCTTTCCTTGGAACACATAATCATGAGACGTTCAGCTCCTCTAATTTGATCTTCTCAGAACATGGCCCCTCTTGTTTATTATCTATGCCCGTGTAGTAGTTGACAACAAGGCCTTTATTTTGTCCTTGAGAGATTACGCTAATGTGGCTAAAAGCCACAGCTAATTGTTACTTTTCACGTTCTCTTCAGTTTGGTTCCCATTAGTGAAGCCAGCGTGATTGTAGCCATCTCTTCCCCTCACCGAGCAGAGTCTCTCGCTGCCTTGCAATATTGCATCAATACTTTAAAAGCGACTGTCCCCATATGGAAAAAGGTATGTGCGTTTCCGGACTTTTTTTTTGAAAAAGGGAGTGCAATGCTGAACATCACGTGGTCCACAGGGCAGCTTCCCAGAACCTATTTGTTTTAACTGTCAAGTTTGTTTGCCACCCATATCACCTTGAGGCCTATATAGGCCTATGGCATGGTATGGTATGGCTTCCCCCTGCAGAGTTGAGGGCAGGCTTTCACTATGGTGAATGATTCTTCTTCCTCTGCTGTTTTCTGACACTGTAAAATTCCAGTTTACTAAGTGGAGGTTCAAAAGGGACCAGATATTTAAAATAGTGTTCTTATAATATAATATGATAAGAACTCTTGTAATATTCTACAATATTATAAAAGAACTATTATTTATTGAACCAATGTGCTTGAATTTTAAATTAACCAGAGCTTATGCACCGAAGGATCATTCCTTGTGTGTCCAATAACACTTGGCTAATAAAGAATTCTATTCTATTCTACTCTATTCTACTCTACTCTACTCTACTCCATTCCACCCCACCCCACCCCACCCCACCCCACTCCACTCCACTCCATTATTCTACTCTACTCTACTCTACTCTACTCTACTCTACTCTACTCTACTCCATTATTCTATTCTATTTCTATTCTGTTTATACTCTACTCCATTATGAAACTTGATTCTAGGAATAAAAACGTGTACCATTTTTGTGCCCGATATGAATATCCATTCATTTTAGGAAAAGCAATATTTAAAAGCAACCATCTCTCTTCAGTTCTTTGGGCAACTTAAGTCTAACCAGTAGCTAGTCTAAACCAGTTTGTCAACTATATCAACTACATGTGGATTTTATTTTCAGAATTCTGCAGCCAGTTTGTTCGCTGAGAAATTCTGGGAGTTGAAGTCCACATACTTTATACTTGCTAAGATTGGAAATATTGGTTTAAACAACCTTTATCCATTTAAGAGGACAGCAGGTGCAAACGTCCTTGACAGCAATTTGACATTTTGAATTTGTGTTCCTCTATAATGTGCATACTTTCTACTGATCCTCTGGAGATATCCCCCTGGATTGATGTTTAGCAGTCTTTATATATGTTTAGCAGTGTATAGAGTTTTATATTTAATAGATTTGATCCAGATAATTGATACACAAAGACATATTGCTTGGGCCCCAGGAAAGAAGGTCTGCATGGGACACAAATGCCAACTTTTTCCTATCTGATCAGGCTGGTCCTCAAGCTGTTTCTGCAAATGTCAAGGCTCCTTTGGAAAATATCTGCTTATTCCTGAATTGTATCTACATTTTTTTCATATTTTAATTCAGCCCTGATGGTAAGCTAGGAAAAAAATGAACCTGCTGCATTCAGTGCAGCAGATAGCAATAGCACTTAAGACTTATATACCACTTCACAGTGCTTTACAGTTTTCTCTAAGTGGTTTACAGAGTCAGCCTATTGCCCACAACAGTTTGAGTCCTCCTTTTACCCAAGGATGGAAGGCTGAATCAACCTTGAGTCTGGTGGGATTCGATCTGCCAAATTGCAGGCAGCTGACAGTCAACAGAAGTAGTGCAGTACTGCACTCTTAACAACTGTGCCACCTCAGATAAAAGAGTTAGCTTTGTAAAACAATTCTCTTGCCCATGATGTTCTTTGCTTACAGGAGGTGTATGAAGAGGACTCTTCTTGGAAAGAAAACAAGGAGTGCTTTTGGATCAAGGGAGAAAAATAAAATATTAATGTGCCAAAAGAGAAGGCAGAAGAGAAGCTGCTTCAGCGTGTTCAACTGAACTGGGAAATGAAGTTCAGTTTTTGGTTGATCATTTTTAGAGATACAGGAAGTATTTGCAACTGATTAAAATATAAGTATTTGCAACTTTTTAAAATATATACTGTATTTATATTTCTTTCTCTGTGTTAATAAGCCTTAATCCTTAAAGCCAGGACATTTCAAAAATTGAATTGTATTCCAAAATTGAACTTGTACAAATTATAATTCTCCAATTTTGAAATGGAATGAGATAATGAAGTCACTCATCCCATTGATTTAGTAATATTGTTGCTTTCACGGGCTTCTTTGTAATCATTGTTTATTTTTCAGATCAAATTGGTATTTTGAATCTCTCTTAACTTCTGTGGAGTAGCTGAAGCATTGTGAGAACCACAGTAGCACAAAAAATGTAACCCTCACTTACTTTTGCTCCCTGTTATAAATTTAGGTGACTTGCCCAATCATCATAAAATTGAGGTGATGGCCAGAATGTTCTCACTAATACTATTAAAAATATGGGAACAAGATTAAAGTATTTAGGTATGCAATGTTTTATAGGAAGTGGTTCAAAATTTACAACCATTTGACTTAGACCCATTCATTTATCAACCGTTCAAGGTCACAGTGGCACTGAAAAAAGTGATTTGCAAAGAGTCAATTGTCCCATGATTGTCATGTGACCAAAATCCTGGCACTTGGCAACCAACATGTATTTATGACAGTTGCTATATCTTGGGGTCATGTGATCACCATTTGTGACCTTTCCGGCCAGCTACCGACAAGAGGGGGGAAATTTGGACTCACCTAATGACTGCATGATTCATTTAACTGCAGTGATTTGCTTAACGACCATGGCAAAAAAGGTCATAAAATCGGGCACAACTTACTTAACAGGTACATTGCTTAGCAGTGGAAATTTAGATTCCCCATTGTGATTATAAGTCAAGGGCTTGTACATTCATGTGCTCTCATGAACCAAAACTAGGCAAGAGAATGTGCATTGTATATTCTACACCAGGGGTCTTCAAACTTGACAGCTTTAAGACTTGTGGACTTCAACTCCCAGAATTCCTGAGCTAACATGACTGGAAGAATTCCTCCCAGAATTCCTCCTCCAGTCATGTTAGCTTGGGAATTCTGGAAGTTGAAGTCCACAAGTTTTAAAGCTGTCAAGTTTGAAGACCCTTGTTCTACACTAATGTAAACTTAGTTGCTGTTTTGGCACCTTTGAGTCCATGATGACTTCTGGTGACTGCTTGGATAGGTCCCTGCAGTTTTAGAAGATTTCAGAAGTGATTTTGCTGTTGCCTCCTTCCAAGCGGTGAGAGAAAACGACTGGCTCAAGGTCACCCTGTTGGCTTTGTGCTAAGGCAGAATTAGAAGTCATAGTAGCCCAGTTCCTAACTTAATGCCTTAACCATTACACCTGTCTGGCTTTCTTAGCAGAAAACTTTGCATTAGGAAAATATAAATGACCAGCAACAACAAACTTTTGAAGGCGTATTTTTATAAATGCTGCTCATTTCCATATAAATAAATATAATTCAAATTTTTGGACCAAATAATTTGAAGGGAAAAAATGTAATAGATGCTCTGAAGTTCCCTGGTCTTTTTGCATCTCCTAAAGTGCATGATTAACAAAATGAAAAGAAACAAAACACATAGGTAGATGATCTAACAATATACTTCTGTCTGTATTAGGTAGCTTTCCAAACAATAATATTCAGCAATGAGTGGGATGGTTTCAAGATTTATTTAACAGGATTCATCTGTCTTTAGAACACGAGCTTCAGTATATTCATTTGTTTTGGTACGAAGTGCAAAACACACATAAAGGCTTTGTCTGTACAATACCCCTATTTAAATGAATTGCTATTTTTTAACGAAAATAAAAAATACAGAAAAGTACAAAATCGTTACATACACACTACAATATTATAAAAGAGCACAAACATTTATTGAACCAATATTCTTGAACTTTAAATTAACAACAGCAGTTAGGTTCACATAAGCTGGCTACATTTTTACCAGCCTTGTTCTATGAAACGTGATTTTAGGAGTAAAAATGCATATAGTTTTTGTGCCTGATGTGAATATCCATTCATCTTGCAGAAAGCAATATTTTCAACATCATATCCAACAGCAGTGAAACAGCTTGACTCAAGCAGAATGGTAATTAAAATTCATCAGGAACATCTGTATTAATGCTGTTGGGATGTGTAGAGACATGCTGAATCAGCCTTAAAGTTTTCCCCAATGCAAACATAAACTGAAATTTAAAAAGAGCTTCCTGGTATTTCAGCCAGTGATAAAACAAAAGTAAAGATAATTTATTAGTTATTTTAACAGAGGTAATATATTACAGGTAAGAGTATGTATCTTCCAGTGTTATGGACCTGAGTCATTCAGAAGTTATGCCTTAATCTAGACAGTAAGAGTTTACTGCTGTGTATAAGTGATAGGAGCATATATGCTTCTGATATTAGTCAAGAATGCAAAAACAGTGGCAAAAATGGCTGCAGCTAGGCAAAATAACCTAATTCTCCATCAGAACATCCCAATTCCAAAATTGAAATGTTCCCCTTAAAGAATAAAGTAATGGGTTCTGAAGGGTGGATTTGAAAATTTAAGGAGGAAGTCTACTAGTGTTATTTATGGAAATTAATCCATGTCTCCTGGATTAAAACCCAAATTACTGGAAGACAGAATGTCCAGAAATTAGTACCTTAGTCCTTTACAAATACTGTTTTACACCAAGAATTGTAAATAAGACCAGCCATTCTTCTCTCAATTTCATTTTGTTCATAAATGTAATTAAATGTAATTAAATCTAACAGTTTTGTCATGGAGAAATAAACTGTTTTTTGGGGGGGCTGGTATACATTGAGGATTCTGGAAGCTAGTATCTAGATTATAATTTTTACTGCTTGAGAAAACCTGACTGTTCCTTAAAACCCTGAAAAGTAAGTTGAGTTTCCTTTTATTGTTTGTTTATTTATTTCAAGAGCTATTTGAAAGCACCAGCTAGGAAAAAGAGCTAAAAAGACATCAGAGGTTTACAGGTTGTATAAAAAAAACTGAATTAGAAATTTCAAAGTGACATTTGAGTAGTATTGCATGTGGATGTCCTTATATCAATATAGCACTTAAAATCAAATCAGTATTCAGTAATTAACAAATGTAAGCAGTATAATAAAAATCAGAATGAACGATTCATGAATGTTTCTACATGATTTTAGAACAGGGATGTCAAACTCAAGGTCCGTGGCCTGGGTACTTAGATATCCCTGAGGGGCTGCCCTGGAAACAGTGAAGGGCCGACCTGTGGTGCCTCTGCCAGTGAAAATAGAGCTCGGGAGGGCTATGCACAGCCGTCCCAGACTCCCATTTACAACCATTGGAGCCAAAAACATGGCCCGGGAGCCTGTTTTCATTGGAAGAGCACTTGGTGCCCCCACCACATGTGCCCCTGACATGAGTGATGTCATGCTGGCCATGCCCACTCCAGCCCCTTGAGGTCAAACTCATTGAAGGCCTGATGCAGCCCTCAATGAAATTTGAGTTTGACACCTGTTTTAGAAGGTCTGTTCTTAATGTACAGTTTATTTTACAGCTTGAGTACGCAACTAGTACTAAGCCATATCATACAATAACACATTTAGTAATCTTTGCGATCATATCTCCAGCTTTTTCAGACAATGCGTAAATGAATAAGTGCTATCCTTTCTTTGGTGCAACAATAAGCTACAAATAGCTATATTGTGTTGAGCAATTCTGTGCTAACTCCAATGGTTCTGCTCACATGTGACATTTAGTCACAGAGTAAACAAACCAATTTATGGTTTAATGTAATATCTGAATCCAGATACCAACTGTGAGGAGCTAGCGCTGCTCAGTGTGTGTAAACTTTTGAGTAACTCAAGGACAGATTTTGACTGCAGTATGAAAATAACAGGCCCTGTTACTGGTAAATCAAGACAAACTATTCCATGTGTACTCTTATCAAGGATACAAAGCAGTATTCCTGGGAGTTTTCAGCATTCTTTCTGGCCCCGCCAATTCAAAGGATCCTTTATTAACAGTAGAAAATATAAAAACAAAATCTTTATACAACTGTAAACAAAGCCGAAACTGACCAGCAGTTATATGTATATTTTCACTTATAAAAAATGTAAAACCTTTTCATAAGGCACTCGTAGAAATTAAACAGTGTAATTGCAAGCACTGTTTGTGGCTCAAGGTTCGTACACTTGGGAATATTTCTACTATGTTCATTCTCTGTCCTTAGTAAGTCCTGTAATCTCATCCATGTCTTCCAAATCTGTCCCCATTTTCTTGTATTTTCTCTTGAAGAAACCAAGCTGCAAGAAATTTTTGAAAAGATTACATTTGGTATTATTTAATACTGGAATGTGGCATCAAGGATAAGATCCACACTGTTTCTATTGTTCTTCAACTTTGATTTTTAACAATAGGTTGTCCTTTAATCTCAATTAGACAAATCTTAACTCTAAACGATCAGCCTCTGAGGGCTGCTTAATTAAGATGTGTTAAAAGCCTAGGGCAATGCTTCTTAACTTTGGTAATTTTAAGATCTGTGGATTTCAATTCCCAGAAACCTGCCAGTGTTGGGTGCAGAATTCTGGGACTTGAAGTCCATACATTTTCAAGTTGTGAAAGTCAAGAAGTAACAGTCTAGGATCTCACAATGTACAAGCAGATAAACCCACCCCATATTTGCTGATCTTTTCCTAAATAAGTAAGAAGACAGTTCTAAGACTGAATGTAATTTACTGTATTTACTCGCTATTGGATGGACTACATCAAATAAGCAGTTATATATGCACATAATCCTAAATTCAGATAAACATAAAACCTAAATATAACTGAAATAAGCATTAGACATTACAGTACAGTGTGTGCATTTAATAGATGAAAATCAGCAGACCTTCAAAGCACTTTTTTTTTGGGGGGGGGGAGTTCTAGTCTAGTTGCAGAACCTCTCTTTATCAGATTTTTTTCCTTAAAGGCAGCATTTGGAAAGGGAATTCTTTCATTTTCTTATTTTCTTAAACTTATCCATACACTTATACATACAAACGTGCTATCAAATGGTGTAGCAACATTAATAATTGTAAGATGTGAAAATGCTTGGGACTGAATAACCACAGATAGTCCCGTTGGACTCAGATTTCCCAATCTTTAAGTAATACTTTCAACTATATAGGAAGAAATCTTTCATTGTCTTAACTTTTACACTTCTAAACCTTTACTTACTTTCCATAAAACAGCAATAAGACTCATTAGCAAGAGAAGACCGATAAGGACACTTGCTATTATAATTCCAATGGGTATTTCTGCTTTCTCATCAGGTTTGCTTATTGTAATTGGAATCTAAAAA